CCGATGCTAAATACCTCGTGCTGCTGGTAGGTGTACGATGCGTCTTCCCTCTCTGCCGGTTCCGTTCGCCGTAGTACGCACTCCAAGTCCGCGTAAACGATGAATGGAAGTCGTTCCTTATTCGTGTGGTTCTTGAATTCGAGCCACTTGTCGTCCTCGCTCGGCAGTCGGATGGCGCAATCGTTCATCTTTTCGCAGTCCGTTGTATGTGACTGCAATCTTTCAGACGAACTGAAGTAATGTAGACATCTGCAAACGGAAAATATGATTTTTAGTATTTAATAAACAATTTTATAAGAGAAATAATAAAAATTTGTTAAAATACATACCGGTCGCAAAAGTATTTCTTGCATTTCTTCTTGTTTATTTGCGAGCTTCACAAGACGGGACAGATCTTTGATGTACGCAAAGTGCCCCGCGTTGTCGTCACGCGGATCCTGCACGTACAATAGATTTGCGTGCTTCTCCATCTTCCTTGATGTCAGCCGTATCGGGGAGAATCTCCTTTTCCTTGATACCGTAGACGTTAATTGAGATGTCATTGAGATGTTCGAACTTCTTAATTTGGTTCAACGTCATCGGAAACGTAATGTTTTGCAAATTTAACACTGTCGTATAATGCGGGTACGACAATTCCCGATTTGTATTCCTTTCAGCCGGATGCAGAGCCGCGATCACCGACCACGCGAAACACGCATTGTCATTGGATCGTACATTGATCACCGCTCGCTTTAACATAATTTCCCGCGGTAATTCGATGTAACATCCCGCGTGCATTGGATTATATTTGTTCACGTTTATAGTCAAATTTAGAATTCGCGACAACGCCCATCCACTGTCGCATTCTTGGAATTCTTCGAGCGACGCCAACGTGGGTTCGATAACGTACTGCTCGTACCACTCGTCCAAATTTGACACTCGAAAGAGTTCACTATTTTTAGTGTTTATATTTTTGTTCGCGCGTTTATCGCCCGTCACAAATTCGCCGTTAAATGCAGTGTTCACTTTCACACTATCGTGTCTTTGTACAATGTCTCGCACTCGCTCGAGCACTACACCACCAGCGTCTTCTAAAAATTGTCGCGGCTCGATATAGTCCACATTGATCACCGCACCAGTCAATATACGGCTTTCAAATGCCGTATCGATTTCTCGCCAAACGAGAGATCCATTGTCTCTACTGGTGCTCACCGCCAACGTGCACGAAACGTCTTTCTAGTTGTACTTTTGCACCCGCGAGTCGCGCGATCCTCGCCACCGCAGATTGTCTATTTGCAACGGTGAGTCGAGGACGCTTACACGGCTAAGTTCCTCGAGTTGTTCGATGCACTCCTCACATCGTTGCAACCACGCGAAACACTCCACCAAGGCGACTTGGCTGCACTGCTCCAGCAGCTCGCGTTCCACTCGCTCTAGGTGTTCCATATTGCAAAATCGTGATTTTTTAAATTGTTGTACTGTCTTATTAAAACAATTTTACATTTTTTTACTTTCTTTTTTCTTTTCTCTATAGCTGCTTTAACTCGAAGCCAGTATACAAAGCGTTGTATTTCCGCCATGTCCGGAGATTGATGGGAATAGAACAACCATATATGATTATCCTCGCTTCTTGGAATTATCTCTGCTACTTTTTGCCGCGAGAGAGGTAGTAATATATTGTATGCGTGTCCTCTATAATGATAATATGTGCACGCTTCCAGAATTATTTCCGTTCTCTCAGAAGGAGCGGAGAAGCAGAGAATCGAATTGTAGCGTCCCTTAACTCTTGAACGAGGAATCGGGAAATGGGGAGTTGAGGTATAGTGTCTCTTTATAAAATACACCGCCACGTTCACTGGTAGATGAGAGATTGAATCCCATAACGGAGAACTTGTTAATTCTTCCAATGACCTTTCCATATTGTTTTTATATTCACATCACACTCTTCCACTTGCATATGCCTCGTTCACAATGTTGTCTTTTTTCTAATTTGTGTCAAATTGGGCACATGTTGCATTGCATTATCA